CCCACATGCACAATTGTTTATTCACTTTACATCCCACTCACTGCCCTCCTCCCACTCACTCCCTCCCACAATCCATCCCAATCCTCCCTCCCCCTCTCCTCTGAGTGAGTAGGGCTCCCCCCAAACACAATTTTTTATTTTAAAGAAAATAGGACCATGTGGCACAAACGGCTCTCCACAGCCCTGCAATTGTCCCCAACTTAACACTTAACAGTGTCCCCAACTCCAGATGAGGCCATTCTGTGTCTGTTAGAGCAAAGGGTCAGACAAGCACCGTCCCATATCAGAAAGAGGCCCCAGACAAGAGGTCAGAGAAGGGGAACCTCAGTAGCCTTGCTGAACCAAAAGGCACAGCTTCTTGTCTGCACACCTGGAGCAGGGCAGTGATGGCTCTGGCCTCTGCCCTGTCCCAGCAAGCCACTTACCTTCCAATCTTTGTGCTTCCTGACCCCTGAGGTGACTCTTTAGACATGAATCTAGCTAGTATCTAGCTCAATTTTAGCCAATCCAAATAAATAAACTCATACTCATGGTCATAAAGACAAAGCCCAACAGCCTAGCTAGCTGATGCTGAAGTCTACTGTTGGACAACCAGCACTTTGGAGGCTGCAGCGGGAAGACTGTTTGTAGCCTGGGCTACACATTAATTAGGACACTCTCAGCTAAGACAGTGAGATTCTATCCTAAAACAAGATAAAACTCCACAGACCAAAACCATAGTAAAACCAAAAAACTCAACCAAACAAAAAAGAAGGTCAATAACTACTTGTTAATTGGTTAAAGTACTTAGCAGAATCCAAGTTGTAGCAGCCCTTCTCAGTCTGGAGAGAGAAGCCATCACTTAACTTATTCACTTAATAGCAGTCACTCATCAAACTCCCAGCCTCTACCACAGATCTGGGCACTGGGGACAAATGCAACGTCTAGGAGCGTGCCCCTGCTCTCTCAGGTCTGGTCACCATGGACAGCCTCAATATGCACCCATCCACTACCACTGCTAGCACCCAGTTCCCAGAATCTACACTATACAAGCTTCCTCCACACCGTACCTTCAGTGTTCACAAACCACTGTGAAAAAGAGCTTAGAGGTTTGTCTGAATAAACTCATTCCCTCATGTCTTGGTGGCTACGTAAGTTAGATGTGCCAGCCTGGAGTTACTCCAAAATCGCTTCCTAACCCACCTCTATAAGCATAACGACCACTAGCCCGGGCATACACCACATGTAAAGGACACACCCTTCTGATCTATTCCCTGCTAACTGCTATTGCCGAAACATTTTCTTTCTGAAGAGCTAGGCCCTGGGCTTTTCTATTTTCCTTTCTGTTCTTCTCTAGCCTCTTCTGCCCACTCTCAGTGTCCAGTGTGTGGTTTCACTGTCACAGATGAAACATTCTGGATAGTAAGTGGAGATCCACATACAAAAATTTAAGTTGTATACTCTTGGTTGTCAGACCACAGGTCTAAACTACAAAATAGCACTTATACAAGATGTCACCAGGTCCAGACTTATAATCCAAGAGACCTTGGGCTGCTTGGCAGCTTCAAGATTCAATGCCCTGTGTGAAACAGCTACCCCAACTGAGTACCTGAAGATCAAGATAGGCCAAAATGCCTATCACTTGTGGTTCACTAGCAATGCCCTCCTCTTGTCCCTGGCCCGGTGTGGAGGCCAGTAGTATAGTTACTGCCACAGCCTTATCCTGAAGGTGACAGGTACCTACCACTTTCCATCTGTTCTCAGTCTCTCCGTTTTGTAATTAAAAAAAGCCATCAGCAATTACAGCCTGCAGGCCAGATCTGGGGTTTGTAAACAAAGGATCTTTTACATTGAGACAGAGGTGACTTGCTACAAGAACGGACATCAAAGCCTAACACGATTTGTTACCTAGCAAATTTGTTACCTTGCCAGCTTCACCAATACTCTTACTGCAGACAGTGAAATTAATATTTCTTTTTGTCTCTTCTCCTGTTGGAAACTTCAGACTCCACGGCTAGATGTTCCCTATCTGGAGATCTGGGCATTCTTATGCCTTTTCTCAACACTAACAATTCCACCCAGCCTCTGAGATGCTTTGCAAATTCAATCAAATAACATTTGCTCCTCTTCTCAGAACACTTTCGAGAGCATCCCACTCTCAGCCACACCCCTACAGCTCCAGCTCAGCCCCTCAGAGGTTTGTAGAGAAAGGACAGCTAGCCCAGTCACCTTCATCATCTCTTTGGACAGCTCCCGCATGGTGGCCTGGATTTCTGGGATCTTCACAAGACTCTGCATTGCCTTCATCACTTCTGTGCTCTTCTGCAGAGAACCAGCTACTCTTAGGACCGCTGAAAAGGAAAGGCTGTATCACCCAGGAGTGTCCAAAAGACAGAACACAGAATGAGAGAGCCCAGCTCAGGCCTGCTTCTAGCACACGGACTGTCAAAGTTACTGCCATGCCTTCACGATACATCATTGTGCTAGATGTCTGAGAGGTCATTCTTTGAAACTGACTCCTACTTAGGTATAGTGGACAGTTTTAAGTCATCTTGACATAAGCTAGTCATCTGAAAGGAGACAGTCTCAAATAAGAAAATGCCTCCGTAAGACTGGGCTATATGCAAGCCTGTAGAATATTTTCTTAATTAGTGACTGATAGAGGCATACCCATTGTGGGTGATGCCATCCCTGGGTTCTATAAGAAAGCAGGCAGAGATACACAGAGAAACCCTGTCTTGAAAAACCAAAAAAAAAAAAAAAAAAGAAAGTAGGCTGAGCAAGCCATAATGAGCAAGCCCCCCCCTCCATAGCTTCTCCATCAGGTGCTATCTCCAAGTTCCTGCCCTGCTTGAGCTCCTGTCCTGACTTCCTTTGATGGTGAACTGTGATGTGGAAGCAAAAGCTGAATAAACCCTTTCCTCCCTAACTTGCTATTGGCTGTGGTATTTCATCATAGCAATAAAAAAACAAATTAAGGTACTAGGATATATGGTGTGAACTCTCTGAGAGTCACACCAATGAGCCACTGTGGAGGGTGGCCTGAAGGTCTGCAGTTGACCATTAGGGAGGGAGACTTAGTCTGACACCTGGAAACAAGTCACAAATGAAAGGCTGGGCTCAAGCCTAAGGTTCCCCAGTGGGAAGCAGAAGGCTTCCAGCTTAGGCAAGCAGAGTCTTCCATCCACTAGATGACAGTGTCTCCTCTGTGAAGAGCCTGTTGTTGCTGGTCCTCAGAAAAGTGAGATAAACAGAAGTAAAACAGAGAACTTACTCTGTGGGTCAACACAAGGCTACAGTTCCTTGCTAGGGAAAAGCCTTCTGTGACTTAACACTGTATACATCTTCTTTGTAAGGCAGTGTCATAGAAGCAATTGACTGTCTCCCTCTGTGTGTCCACTGCTAACATGTCAAGTGACAAGTGAGCAATGTTCCCAGTGTGTTATGGAATTCCATGAGATCTAAAGTTCTTAGAGTCATTCACTACTACAAAGCAAATTGCTGGCTAACAGTTACACATACTTTTCCTGTACTTCAGTGTCTAGTTAAGCCAGCAGACACTGAACACTTAACCTCAGCAGAGTCCAGACCCTAGGAATCATTCTTATCTAACAGAAAACATGAGTGAACAGGCAAATGCCTGTCTAAGGGGCACCGAGCATTTTCCTACATAAGGAAGCGTGCTTCAATTCTCCGACCACGGGGGTAGGAAAGCCAAGGGTTAATGTACAAGTAGCATTAGAAGATGGCTCAAGATCTGTGCAGCTGAGACAAGCAGTAACGCACCTATGCCATTAGGAGGAAAAAAAGACATTAGAAAATACTAAAGTTGCTGGGGAGTTGGCTCAGCAGGTAAATGTGCTTGCTGTACAAGCCTGCGGATCTGAGTTCAAATCCCCAGATCCTGTAAAAAGTGTTGTAGGGGGAGAGACAGGAGGATTGCTGGCCACCACCCCAGCTCCAGGATCACAGAATGTACTGGCCGGTTTTGTGTCCAAGTGATGTAATCTAGAGTCATCTGAGAGGAAGGAGCCTCAGTTGAGGAAATGCCCTCATAAGACCCAGCTAGAAGGCATTTTCTCAATTAGTGATCAGTGGGAGAAGGCTTAGCCCATTGTGTGGGGTTCCATTCCTGGGCTGGAGGTCCTGGATTCTGTAAGAAAGCAGGCTGAGTAAATATGGGGAAGCAAGCCAGCAATCAGCACCCCTCCATGGCTTCTGCATCAGCTCAAGCCTGGCCTGTGTGAGTTCCTGGCCTAACTTCCTTCAATGAACAGTGCTGTGGAAGTGTAAACTGAATAAACCCTTTACTCCCCGACTTTTAGGCAATAGTGTTTCATCAGAGTGGCAGAAACTCTGACCAGAAACCCTGTTTCAAAGCAATGGGCAAAAGGTGCTAGATCAGGATACCCAATATCCACTGGCCTCTGCATACTCACAGCTGTGTGCACCTGAACAGATGTGCATACACGCTCACACACATACCCAAATACAGAAAAAGAAAGAAAATCCTAAACTTGTTGTTGATCATTGTTCAAATGTGTGTGCGTGTGTATGACACACACACACAGGTAAATCCTGTGTGGGTCTTAAAATTATAAAAACACAGTGTCTGTGTGGCCTGTGCTTTATCTTTGCAGCACAGAGTACAGCAGCAGTTCAGGTCACTGATTGAGCTGGAATGTAAGAAGTGGAAGATAAAGCTGTCCCAGTTTCAACAGCATGGGGCCTGGTGAGGTGATGAGGAGTGCCCAGGACTGTACGGGTAACGTTTTTTTGCAAAGGGGTAGTGCGGGACTCATAAAGCATGCTAGTTCTAAGAGTCAACTACTCCAGAGGGAGCAGTCCTGGCTCTTCAGCCTCCTCGGGCTTTCCTCACACACGCTGCTTCTTATGAAGCCACTCATCATGAGGCCTTCCCAGAGGCCAAAATGATCAAGTTTCCAAACACCAAAACTACAAGCTACATAAACCTCTGTATGAAGCACCCACCAAAGATACTTTGTTACAGAAACAGAAAATGGACTAAGACATATGTAAAAATAGTGTCAGGAACTAACATTCTCACTGCTTCTCTTTAAGCCGACACTACAACTTCATGATGCCAGGCTATACTCCTGAGCTACAGCTCCCGTCCAGTAAATACCTCTTTTGGAGGGAGTTTGTTTTTAGTTTGTTTTTGTTTCTAGACAAGGTCTACTTTCAACTCATGACACTCCTTCTGTCTTAGCCTCCAGGTGCTATGGATACAGGCAGGAGCCCCATCCCCAACCACTTCTTTTCAGCACGGTCTTAGCCTTCACAACTACTCAGGGGAAAAAATAAAATGCATCCCAATAGGAAAGGAAGAAATGAAATTTCTGTATGCTGACGTCATGATATTACACTGAGAAATTCTTAACTCAGAAAACTATTAGAACTGACAAATTCAGTAAACTTGCAGGATTAAAAAAAATAACATAAAAATCTGAAGCAGTTCTTTCTCTTTGCTTCCTGGCTTCTGGCCAAGGTTTTATCTTACCTAAAGCTCATAGCAACAGGTTCACGTACCAAGGACAAAACCCTCCAGATCCATGAGTCAAAATAAACATCCTAATAAAACAATCTGGTTCTACAAACAAATAATGAGCCACCCAGAAAGAAACAAAACAATCTCATTTACAACAGAAACATGAAATTTTAAATATTTAGGCACTTTTACCATAAGAATGTAAATTAGTACTGCTATTACGGAAAATGATACGAAGGCCATCTCTGTTTGCATATAAATAAAATTCCAGCAACTGGGAGGCAGAAATAGGAGGGTCACTCTAAGCTTGAGGATAGTCTAAACTCACACAGTAAGTCCTAAGTCACTAGGCTACATAATAACCAGGCTACAAGACTGTTTTTGTTAGGGACAGTATTGCTGTCATGAAATACCATAACCAAAGCAACCTGGGAAGGAAAGGGTTTAATTGGCTTATGTATCCTAAGTCATAGACCACTGAGGGAAGCCAGCATAGGAACACTAACAGACCAGGAAACTGGAGGCAGCAGCCGATAGAGAAGTTATGGAGGAGTGCTGCTTGTAGGCTTGCTCAGCCTGCTTTCTTATAGAGCCCAGGACCAGCCCAGGGATAGCACCACCCGCAGTGAGCTGGCCCTCCTCTCATCACTCACGGACTGAGAACAAGCCTTATAGGCTTGCATACAGCCCGCTCTTATGGAGGCATTTTCTTAACTGACGTTCCTTCCTCTCAAATAACTTTAGTTTGTGTCAGGATAACAAGTCAATAATAATATATACTTCTAAGTAACATACAGTGGGGCTAAAGGCACAGCAGAGAGGCAGAGGCCTTGCTTAGCTTATGCACAGCCCAGGGTTCAATCCTTAGCACTGTAGCAATCTCAGAGGGCCAGGCAAGAAAGATGAAGCACATGCTAACTGTCCTAGCAGATCACAGCCACATTTTATCCTGGAAATGTAATTATGGTCTGTCAATCAGAAAATAAATGCATGCCAAGTACATGGGAAAGCATTTCATTTGAGGCTCTGTAACCACACACGTGTGCGTGCGTTCATGTGTGTGTGTGTGTGTGTGTGTGTGTGTGTGTGTGTAAAATAAAATGTTTGACTAAAATCAAAATATGGCAGGGTAATTTGGATGGTGTCCTGAAAGGAGTTATGATGAAGAAGGGGCTGTGGCCCCCACAAGTAAGGAAGGTAGAAACATACTGCATCTCTGACAAAGAGAACTACGTTCTGACATGTGGTGAATGTACTGTGATTACTTACAGGAAGTAGACAATAGCTGCATCTATTTCAAAATCACACAGGAAATGGAGAAGCTGACTTCCTAGGACAGCCCATGCCAGAAATACAGCCCCAATGAGACAGTGATCTTCCACTCACACGGTCATCTTCCCAGAGCCAAGGACACCATAAACCTATACAATGTATGTGTTACCCACAATGTCACCCCTGTTGGACAGAGTGACACCATCCTCCTCCTCTCCTGTAACAATCGCCAGGTTCTGTATGCAGACAAAGTAGGGTTGATGCCCTTTGTTCAAACAAAGTATGAACATTTCATTTTACATATTTCTGTTGTATTTTAAAATAATAAATCCATACACTAGGTACTTAGATATGTGCAAGTATTCTCTAAACTTTGTTAGAAGGTGTGTTTAAGGCTTTGCAGTATAATTTATGTCACAGTTTTTTCCATTTTTAAGGATGAATGTTATTTTGTATGGTATATGTGTACAAATATATGTTGTGTGTGCCCTGAGTACATAAGGAAATCCCAAACACTGGGGTTTTTCTCTAACGCTATTCACATTCTATTTTGAGACAGGGTCTCTCACT